TTATGGCTTAGGCATAACGTGCATCTCCAAAGATTCCCAAAGGGACCTATAAAAGGAGAAATATGTAATCACTGGAGGGACAAGCAACTATTGAAATATACTCTGATTTACCAGCTTTCATACTTGGCTATTCTAATTTTTTTTTCTTTATTTACTTTTCCGATTATCAGTAACCTGATTCTTCTAATTTCTAGCTTTGACTAAAAATCTATTTTTTGGTTAAACACTTATGCCACTTAACTTGTACCAAACTTGATATTGGAACAAATCTGAAAAAATATAATACTAGATAAAGATGCAACGGTATAACGGTAGAGGTAAACCCAGGATTTTAACGTGACAAGGGCATCACTATTTGCTCAACCAGTGGCCTGTAAAGGCTTTTAGAGTTTTAGTGTTCAGAGTTTCAAATTATTTATATAATAATTTTCAAGTTATATATACACATACAAGATTTCTGATGACGTTTACGGGATCCGATGACCTTTCAATATTACACATAGGTCCGCCTCTGAGTATAACCAGACCTTGGTCTTGTGGCATTAAAAGTAACCATGAGACGATCTGCCAAATAAGTGTTAATGGATATGACGCTGTTTTATTTAATTTGGTTATTGTAAAATCAGGTAAACGTTAGAACATTAGCGCCCAAAAGAACACATAAATTGATCCACATTTAGCACTAAGCCACTTTATGCTAGGAACAGTATATACCCCAATGGTGCTACTCCAGAATTTAATGTGGTATACATAAAGAAGCAGCAGGTACACTACCCAATATAAGGTCTCATAAGCAGATCGAAGAAGAATCTTATGTAACAAATGATGTAAGCAGCAGCTTTTGCGTATTTTTTTAACTGCTGTACAACTCCTTTCCGCTAGACCAACCAAAAGTCCATTGACGCACGCCCCGCTCTTTGCTATTGTTTTATGGTTTTCAATCTCAAGCAATTAAATTGTACTCCCTCCGGTCTAAAATAAGTGATTTTTAGCCTTTTTCTTGTGGTCCAAAATAAGTGATTTTTTCAGATTTCAAGAATGAATTAATTATTTTTTTCCAACATTGTCCTTGGAGTAAATAGTGTTGGAATATGTGTTAGGAGTGTTAATGTGAGATTGTAAAGGTTAATATGATCAATTACATTGCTAATTAATGCTAAAAGGTGGATTTCTTAATCTGCGCGAAAACATCCAAAAAATCACTTATTTTGGACCGGAGGGAGTATTAGTGGAAGAAACTACTCGGAATTTTCCCATCTCAAAGATGTGTTTGTGTTCACCTGGGGTGGCAAAGGGGCGGGACGGTAGGATATGGGCGGGTCAAAATGGATAATGCAAAAATTGATAAATTGTCCGACCCGACCCATAGTTAATACGAATAAATAACGGGTTAATGAACGGATAATATGGATATTCATATTATACATGACTTCTTGAATATGATCACTTTTGGTAAATTCTAATCTCCCAACTTGAGAAACCCACAATTTGAGGCTTTACAAATGTAAAAGTTAAACCCATTAGTCATCCATTGGTTATCCATATTCTAAGTGGATAATATGGTTTTTATCTATATTTGGCCGGTTTTTTAAAAAGTTCATTATCCAACTCATTGTTCAATGAATAATATAGGTGGATAACTATTTTCTTTTAAACATTTTGCCACCACTATTTACACCTAAAATCCTAATAGGAGGCGCAAATCACCGTGTATAACCTGTGAGCCTCAACTTTTCGCCTCTCTAGGGCTTGGTACTATGAGAAATGGGCATTCATGAAATGCAAGTATTTTACTAGTTTGCTAATTCTGAATTCTAACTTATGCAATTACAATCAAAAGAAATTTTCATAGCACTATCTTTTTTAGTGATAATTAGCTATTTATAGATACCATTTGCTATATTGTAGATACGTTTTCTGTTGTTATAAGATGTATTGGATGTATTGAAGCTACTGTATTCATGAATACAGTAGCAAAAATAGGCGTGAATAAGGGAAGTCCAGCTAATCAGTTGTTGTATTCGAGTGTATTCGATTGTATTCATGGCGTGAAACATGGGATTACAGCTGGACAGATTATTGTATTCGACTGTATTTGACTGTATTCACGACGTGAAACAGGGGATTACACTATTTTTAAACAGAAAGTAAATCAATTAACATAATAGACTCCTAATATAACTCAATAAACTCAATTATAACACACCAAATTTGTATTTCCAGTTATAAAAAAGATTCTCAACCGAAAAATACCCCAAACACATAGCAATCTTCAGAGAAATTATATAATACATCTGAATACATAAATTATATTAATTAAAAAAAAAACATAGGAATACATTCATGGCGTATAACGAGACAGTGAATACAATGAAATACATAGAATACAGCGGGATACATTGAAATACAATGAAAAAAAGGCAGTGAATACAATGAAATACACGGAATTCAGCGAGATACATTGAATTACAATGAACAAAATACAATGAAATACATGAAAATACAGCGTGATATGTTGAAAATACATTGAAATATATTAACAGAAAATCAAATTGCTCAGCCCCAAACTCCGTCGTCTTTGTTCAAGAACAAACCCTAATTTCCGGCGAATCCGCCGTTGAGCAAAAACCCTTAATCTCAATGAGACGAAATTCGGATCTACATAGACAGCAACTTTTGAGAGCAGCTCGGTGACAAGAGCTTTGAGATATATGTCTATATTAATTATCTGTTCTCTTTTGTTAAAACAAATTGAAAATTAAATTAATTTTGATGTGCAGAAAAAGTCAAGGGTGAAAGATCTGCGTCGGTCAGGGAAATGCAGCTTGGGGAAAAGAAGATTAAAAGAAGAGGAAAAGATGGAGATATTGATGGGATTAATAGACTTAAAAGTGGTGTCAAGAGTATTAAGAATGAGTGAACTGAATGATGAACAGTTGCATTGGTGCGAAGACAAGATGAGCAAAGTTAGAGTTTCTGATGGAATTGGAAACGAGGATGAGAGACACAAAACGTGGGATTTCTCAGGGAATGGGGGAAGAGAATGGCATGTATCAAAGTAGAGAGAGAAAGAAAATAGTGTAACTGAATAGCGTATTTAGTGGCTTAGGGGTAGGAGNGATACCATTTTGCTATATTGTAGATACGTTTACTGTTGTTATAGATGTATTGGATGATTGAAGCTACTGTATTCATGAATACAGTAGCAAAATAGGCGTGAATAGGGAAGTCCAGCTAATCAGTTGTTGTATTCGAGTGTATTCGATTGTATTCATGGCGTGAAACATGGGATTACAGCTGGACAGATTATTGTATTCGACTGTATTTGACTGTATTCACGACGTGAAACAGGGGATTACACTATTTTTAAACAGAAAGTAAATCAATTAACATAATAGACTCCTAATATAACTCAATAAACTCAATTATAACACACCAAATTTGTATTTCCAGTTATAAAAAAGATTCTCAACCGAAAAATACCCCAAACACATAGCAATCTTCAGAGAAATTATATAATACATCTGAATACATAAACTATATTAATTAAAAAAAACATATGAATACATTCATGGCATATAACGAGACAGTGAATACAATAAAATACATAGAATACAGGGGGATACATTGAAATATAATGAAAAAAAGACATTGAATACAATGAAAATACATGGAATTCAGCGAGATACATTGAATTACAATGAAAAAAAATACAATGAATACAATGAAATACATGAAAATATAGCGTGATACGTTGAAAATACATTGAAATATATTAACAGAAAATCAAGTTGCTCGGCCCCAAACTCCGTCGTCTTTGTTCAAGAACAAACCCTAATTTCCGACAAATCCGCCGTCGAGCAAAAACCCTGAATCTCACTGAGCCGAATTTCGGATCTACATAGACAACAACTTTTGAGAGCAGCTCGGTGACAAGAGCTTTGAGCAGTAGACCATGAAGTTTTGCCAAAAGAAGACCAGTAAATCGGCTATACTGTTTATGCTTTCTTCTCTTTAGTTTATCTTATTTTGCAACGTGACTTCCTGTGAATTGAAAACGAGGATGAGAGACACGAAACGTGGGATTTCTCAGCGTTCCTTTTACCATCGTGATGAGACATCGTGAACTTGAAATCACCGTTTGTGACTAATGGTAGGTGATGTGTGTGAGAGAAATTTTGAGATTGAGCATCGTGTTTTCAGGGAATGGGGGAAGAGAATGACATGTATCAAAGTAGAGAGAGAAAGAAAATAGTGTAACTGAATAGCGTATTTAGTGGCTTAGGGGTAGGAGGTAACCAAAATTAGATATTTTGCTATAAACATTAAAAGGTATCTATAGAATATAATTTTTTTAAATGGTATATATTTAAAATAAATAAGGTGTTAACCTTTGCTATAGGAGGTAAAAATTCCTAAAAATCAATGGATCAATTAATTCAATTTTTTAACCCGAGGAATTACTGTATAACCAGTCTACTATTCCTCAATCACCAGGCCAAAGAGTGTAGAATACTGGACCTCCTCTTCAACAACTTTTACTCCATGCTCATTTTAAAATTTCCTGTACTATACTTCATGTGTCTTTTTCCTGGGGCTAGAAAGAGCACATGCGGGTTAGTTTTCGTGCATAATGCCTTTACCGATGAAACCCAAATTACCAAAAGAAAAAACAGAGATGGAAGTAGTAAATAATTTGGCCAAGTGCGTAGTGTACTTTGTTCTGCATGGAGAGGGTCCAGAATACTCAAAGCCCACATGGGATAGGATAACTTAGACGGCAAGGCCTACCGCTGCGTTTTCTGTACTGTAAGCTACTATCACTGCCTCCAGCCAATATTCTAGTGCTCCCTCTTTGACGTCAGTGGTTTAGTTCCATTCTCACTACCAGAGAATGTACATTTCGAGATACATTCGAACAGAATCACCAAAAATCATAGACGAAACATTTCAGTGTAGCAATGTCTACAACGGTCTACTTACTGAAGAGCACAATTGCATTGCTCAAATACAAAATTCACCCAATTATATTGTGAGAGTGAATACATTAGGTATCTTGTGAGGATTTAAAAAAAAAAAGAGCTTTCTTCTCATTTCTCAGTTGTAAATTTGGAGTTCAGCTTCGGCGTGCACAACTTGTAGATGCAACTACAATTTTAGTTATCACAAAGGGAGACCGCTTTGCTCCCATTTGTGGAAAGAAAGAAGAGAACTAACTGTACATATCCAAACTTAACCATATATAAAAAGAAAAAAGGAGAAAAAGAAAGAACTATTTTAGAAGGGCGAATACTTAAATAATACTACTAGGAAATACTAGAATCAGTGCGCTACCAGGAAATTAGATTGAGAAGCTCGTGGTCTTAGCTTGTAAAATCGTGTTGTTAATCTTGCTAAAGTCTCCATTCATCTTCATGGTTTTACAGTCGAACGGACCCACTCGTAGTGACCTTCCAATGGGTCCTCCTTCACAAAGTCAAAGTTGTACCTGAACCAGCACGCAAATTTTATAAGAATGTGTTAAAAAATTGAAGAAAATAGGAGGAAAAAACAAACTTTCATAATTAGAATGTGTTAACGCGAATGTCAGACAAAAAAGAGAGAGAGAAATGTACTTTTTGGTAAATCGTTTAAGGATATCTTTCTCGGCTGCAGCAAAGAATTCTTCAAGGTCAGTCTCCGAGGGCATTTTTTCCGCCGTTAATCGACGGCGAGATTTGGGATGGTGTGCTCTCGTCGTTGGCTCCATTTGGCGTAGTTCAGCTTTAATACTACTGCAGAGAGACGCTCTGTAAACGACGGGTGGAATTGAAGGCTTCATAGAGAGATATTTGAAACGGCAGAAAGGAACCAAGCGGCTGGTGAAGTGAAGAGACGGCAAAATGAAATGACGCATATTTACCTTTCTTTACTCTTTGACGTTGCAATCTCCACTGTCTCCTCCTGAAAATTCAAATATTCAGACCGTCGGCAATTTCACCCAACAAAAAACAAGAAAAATAAAAGCAGCTATGAACATCACCAATTCAACAGAATTCATAGTGCGACAAGACAATTAACAACACTTTAAATATGCAGCAAGTTGATACGATAAAATTTGAGTGAATCATATATATACGAGTGAATCAATAGAATAAAAACCGGAAAGCAAAATTCGAAGACTTTTGCACATACTTCGAGATCTAGGGATTTCGAGCTTCCATTACTTGCACAGCAAGATGCTAAAGCGTCATCAAAGTTAGAGCTCAGAGCAGCGTTCTCCTTTGGGGAACTGAGCTCGCTCGTCGGAGTAACTAAACTCTCTTGTGCAACTAAAATATCTTCAGAGTGACTTCTAACACAAGCTACAGTCGGTGACATCTCTAAATCACCATCACACATCTTCCTCTTCTTTGCGTGGTCGGCAACCTCTAAAACCTCCCGTTCAGCTGATGCTGTCATCTTCACTGCTACCTCTTCCACCTTGCCAACCTCCATAACCGTCATTTCTCCAATTCCCTTCGACTTGCTCTTATTATATCTTCTTCTCATCGATGTTTCAATATCTCTCCAATTACGATCCTTCTTTAATTTCCCGATAGTAGTATTTTTCTCTTCATTGGAGTACTCAAATTCTATGCAATCTAGAATTTTTTCTCTCCCAATTAACGCTTACGTCTTATTTAAATTCTCTCTTCGTCGGACACGGATTCTTCTTTGCTATAAACTACTGGAATTACAGAATTTTTGGACACCAGAATCGTACGATCTGAACGAGGATATCTTTCTTTTGCAGCAACAGCACTTTTTTCAGTGTGGGGGAGAGAAGAAGTGTTGAGAGACGGTGATGGTGATGGTGATAATGATGATGATGATAGGCCAATTCCATTGAATGATTCGATTGGGTTCGTGTATTATTGGTCGCTTAGTCATGTGGTCCATACCTCTAATGTGACGGGGGATCTTTTCCTTACCGTAACGGGAATTTGACGTCCGTTAGTCATAATAATACTCCGAGAAGAATAAACAGGACTAAAGTCATAACGTTCTTTTTCTCAAAACTGTTAGAGAAATTTGCCGGAACATGTTGAATGGATTTACTTTCAAAGGCATAATTGGATTAACAGATAAGGTTACAAATGGGATGGACAAGAGGAGTAAGATTCCAATCTCCACTTGTTTTAATTTCAGACTTTTAACGAAAAAAATTTATTTAAATAATTTTAAGTTGAAAGATACTCCTTCGCCAATCTTAATATTTATGTTAAAACTATGCCATGGACATGACGGCAAGACAAGGGGTCAGTGTGCTTGTTCGTGGAAGGGGCTATTCGGGCTTAGAAAATTCAGAAAAGGCAAGAAAGATAGTGATACATAATTTCGAGTTAAGGAGTGCCAAAATCAGTAGTGGGTTCTTTCAAATCAAGTCAGTTGCGTGCTAGATTTGCTGTAGGAATGACGGGCAGGAAAGACAAATGAGAAAAACGTTGCACTTGAAGGCAAGGACAACGTAATTCTCAAAAGGGTGCTGAACTTGTGATGTCTTTGCAAATGGCGAGCATGTGTTGGGAATTATTCGACAAGGGCGTCGAATTCAACTGGTTGGGTGGTTTGTTAGACCCTTGACAAAGCTGATCGGCAAATGGCGCGGCAGTGGCAAGGATTTGGCATGATGGCCTTGCCATTGGCCTATGTGCGGGAGAAATCAACATGCAAGACAATGCGGGCGTTGTCAATGGCAACAAACTATTGCAAGGCTAAGTGTGACGGACTACACTACTATTGGAAGGCTTAGGTGTGACGGACTACACTAAAGCACGAGTGGGCTGTGTGCAAGCAAAGGCCAAGGTCTTGAAGGAACAAGGCGGGCTGGACGGAAGCTTGACAAGGCAAAACGGGAAAGACCTAGGCGCTAAGACAAGGCGGCTTAGTGCCAAGGCAGTGGCATTGGCAACACGGTGTTGCCTTGGCTTAGGTGAGCGGGCTGACACCTAAGGAATTTGTGGGCAAACGACTTAGCAAGGGGAATGGCATCATGGCTTGGTGACTTGATGCTAATATCACCTTGGCGTTGGCAAAGGGCAGACTAGATCAAGTAGGGGCGACTTGACATGAAAAGCGGCTGTGGCAGCGGGCGTGCATGCGGCTAAGTCATGAGCGACAAGCTGTGGCTATGGCATTGGGGCGGAGCAGTGTCAAAGGGCAAGGCTGGGCGAAATGCGAGCCTTGGGCGTGCAGCAGCTGGCCGGAAATACGCACATGCATCGCACATGAAGCGGTTATCAAGTGTGCTGTGCACATGGTGTGCCGTTGGGCGGTTACAACTGCCTTGTCCAAAGAGTTGCCGATAATGGGGCTAAGTGTATGCACGTTTTTAGGCATGTTTGTTACATCCCGTACTTTAATATTAGGATAACTCGTAGTAATCCATATGAGCTTGAAGGGACTAAGACAATTCATGAGGTTATAGAGGATTTGCGACTATGTTATCGTAAGACTCCGTAAGTTTAACAACATTGATACCGTTTGATACATTTTGATATGGTATTTGTCTTGAGTGGAACATTTATTATAGAAAAAATGGTTTAAAAAATATGATTTTATATAGTTATTAATATTACTACTTTTCAATATGCTTTAAGTTATACACATAATATGAGAAAGTTTATGAGATTTTCTTTAATGTAAAGATAGAAATTATCTTTCATAAGAAAAGAAGGATATCTTTTTACCATTTTAAGAACTAAGCGTACGAAATTTTTGTACTCTTTCTTTGAGATTAGGAAAATTAAAAGTTGAGAAAATATATGTATTTTTACATAGATATTTTATTGAAATAATGGTGTATGTATTAATTTTATATGGCACCACATGACCATGATAGTAAGTTATACAAAGTGTATTAAAAGTGAGTAATATTTTAAGTAAGTTGATTCTTAATTATATAGGTAATTGGTTGATTATTGGTTAATGGGGAAAATAACGAGTTAATTAATAATTAGTGAATAATTTATTAGGATCTTGATAAGCCTAAGAGGCAAAAACGTGGCAACCCCTCCCCTTAAAATTTAGATGGCTCTTAAAGTCATATGAAATGTGGCAACTTTTGCCTAAGAAACATTGTGACTCTTACATTCATTAGGCTAGGTGGCCTGAATTAAGATAAGACTTTGAAAAGGGATAGTAGGTGGAAGCAATTATTTGGGACTTCTCTAGTTTATTTCTTATTCTTTATAATTGGTCATGTTTTGTTAACATTTTATCCACCGGATTTCTCCTTATAAGGTATTAAGGTTAACTTTTGCATGGTTGACGTGTTGGCCAATTGAAAAGATCGTTCCTTTTCATGTAGTAAAGATCTTCCCTTTTATTTTTATACACTTGCTTAAACGCTAGCATTAGGAGCTCCACTATAGTCAATTTCTTGTAGTGAAGACGTCTACAAAGGGATGCCAGGAAAGGTTCAATTTGATCTGATGCAAAGTGAGTATTTATGAAATAAGAGCTTCTTGTTTAAATGACTATGGTGGTTTGAGAATGATCAAGTCTATTTGCGGGAGGAGGCGATCAATATTAAATAAGGAATGAAGGGTTTTCGAATCAATAACTATCCTTAAGGGTTTGCAGTTAGAAGGTTAATGAACAAATGGGATTTACTTATAAAGTGAAACAAAATTCTGTGAAGACAACAGAAAAATCAGGTATGTTAAGGCTATTCCTTCTTTCTTTTTGGCATGATCTATACGACACAAGCGAAACGAGCAAATGCACAACTTTCATAAATTACTCTATTCGTAGAAATGCTAGAGATGTGTATATTCTTATTCTCCCGTAAGTCTTATTATTCTATCGTCCGTTCATAGATCTCAGAAAATACGTAAGTTGAAAAGGTTTACTTCATGATATTAATCAAAGGCATAATGGTCTTATGACGTTCTGAAAGATTTTATTGGCGTACTTCTCATGCATTGTATTCATTATACATGTACCCATGACTAAGATGGCATTATATACGCGTATATATGTATGTATATGGGATATGGGAAAAGGTTACGACGTTATATACGTACCACCACCTGATCAGCTGGTATACGATGATGATTTTGCCCACAGTGGCCGAGATGATATGATGGATTCCCTCAGAGGCTTGATGATGCTATGTACGTATAGACCTATGCATTACATGACATTTATACGCATATGCATGACATTGTAGATATTTCATGATTTACAGAGCTATCCAGACTTACAGGTTGAGTCCTTTGCTCAATGTTTCTTCCATGCCCTTTATATACTGATTTACATGCCTTACATACTCGGTACATTATTCGTACTGACGTCCTTTTGTTGGGGACGCTGCATTCATGCCCGCAGGTATAGATAATCAGTTTGACGAGCCCTCATAGTAGACGAGGTTAGCATTCAGCGAAGGATCGGTAAGACCCCACCTCATTCGGAGTGCAGCCGAGTCTATAAGTCATCATGTCAGAGTTTTGCTACATACTTATAGGTAGGCCAGTACCCTGTCCCGTTTGATGTCAAATAATCTTAGAGGCTTTGTAGACACAAAGGTTCATTTTGTACAGTATGTCAGAGGACTTGACGCCCCATATGTATTCATGTTTTAAGAACGATAGTTAATGATACAGTGTTCGCCGACTTACGGTTATACTTTACAAGTTTGGCCATGTTGGCCCATGATGGTTACGAGAAAAAAAAAGAGTTACAGAGCGTTCGCTCGGGCCAATATGGCACCGGGTGCCAGCTACGCCTCCCCAGGTTTGGGACGTGACAAAGTGGTATCAGAGCCAGGTCGTGTCCTAGGGAGTCTACAAAGCCGTGCCTAGTAGAGTCTCACGTATAGGTGTGTTGCGCGCCACATTTATAATTGAGAGGATTTAGGGCATTTAAGAAATATTACTCTTCTTTTGTTTCCAGATCGTGCCATGGCACTGAGCTGTAAGAAGTCAGTATGAAGACTCCACCGTATTTTGCATGCACCATAGGTGCAAGTATCATAGTAGAGCTTTAAGGCGTAATTTCCACCTATGTGTAAGGGAGGTTATGAAAGAAACAAAAGATACGATGCCGGATTGAAAGCTAAGTAAAGTAAAGGTGAAGAATATACGAGATACTCAACTACAAGAGGTTGTGAATAGTCAAGACTTCAGCTATAGTTTGGGTTTTAGTTTAGTTTACAGAGGAGACCCTAGAAAAAAATTGTAAATCTCTGAGAGTTAACATTCAAGGACGAATGTTTCTAAAGGGGGGAAGGATGTTACATCTCGTACTTTAATATTAGGATAACTCGTCGTAATCCATATGAGCTTGAAGGGACTAAGACAATTCATGAGGTTATATCGTTAGACTCCGTAAGTTTAACAACATTGATACCGTTTGATACATTTTGATATGGTATTTATTTTGAGTGAAACATTTATTATAGAAAAATAGTTTGAAAAATATGATTTTATATAGTTATTAATATTACTACTTTCCAATATGCTTTAAATCATACGCATAATATGAGAACTTTTATGAGATTTTCTTTAATTTAAAGATAGAAATTATCTTTCATATGAAAAGAAGGATATCTATTTTAAGAATTAAGCGTACGAATTTTTTTTACTCTTTATATGAGATTAGGAAAATTAAAAGTTGAGAATATGTATTTTTACATGGATGTTCTATTGAAATAATAGTGCATGTATTGATATTATATGGTACCACATGACCATGATAGTAAGTTATACAAAGTGTATTAAAAGTGAGTAGTACTTTAAGTAAGTTGATTCTTAATTATATGGGTAATTGGTTGATTATTGGTTAATGAGAGAAATAACTAATTAATTAATAATTAATGAATAATTTATTAGGATCTTGGATAAGCCTAAGAGG